TCAGTAAAAGGAGAAAAAATTTTCTAAGGAAAAGAAAGATAAATTTTAAAACGGAAAAGTGAAAAAAATCTTTAATTATGCAAACAAAAACCGCACTGAAAGTTTAAATCTGAAAGGAAATAAACATATTAAACAACTAACAAATCCTGGTCAGCTATGAAGAATTCCGCTAAGGCTTAGCTCGGAAGAAACAATGTGAACAAAGCAAGGATCAAAGAAAAAATGTACGTCTCAATTAGGAAAACCCACAAAAGAGAATACTTTGAGAAAATCGAGGGAAAAACTTATAACGACGTGCGAGAAACCCTGAAGTTTTAATCTTAAAGAAATAAAAGTGAAACAACGGAAAAAATCATGGTCAGATAAGAAAAATCTCCTGCAAGCTTAATTCAGAGAGAACAGTGTGAACAAAAAAGGGACAAAACGGGAGAAATAATCCCTTAAAATCTCTAAATCAGTGTCAGATATATTTCAGAATTTTTTTCTTTCTCCATCATGTCTATATTGTTTTAAGATAATATGTAGAAAATACACTTTTATCTTAAAGGAAATATAAACAATGAAAGAACATGGTCACTCGGATTTGAAATGTTCAATTAATTTTCAAAGATTTTCAGTCGTCTAATAACGAACAGTATAATTTAAAATGACTACATATTTATTTTTGAGTAAAATATGTTTTTCTTATAATTCTATTAAACAAATTACAAATAGTAAGAAAAAACTAGGTCAGAGATAATGTTAAATTGTCACAGGTATTGATTCGTTAATTAGGCATTACTAGTGAATTGCCTTCCCGAAGGCCGCTTAAACGGCGAAAAGTAATTCGAAATTCCCGCTCAAGAGCTCAAGGAAGAAAATGTTATTTATTTGGGTTTATGAAAAAATCGACCTCTCCTTTTACAGTGGAACATAATTTGCTAAAATATTTAAGGTTTCATAAATTTGAACCTTAATGTGTCATTTGCACTTAGCAAATTTTGTGGAAATAACAAGAAGAGAAATATTATTTAGTAAAGTTATTTATCATCGCTATTATTTAAGATAATTTATAACTTTGCGTACACACCGAATAAATATCTGGCGCATTATTTTGTAATTTTGAAATCATTATTTTTGAATTGTTCTAAAGTAAGAGTTATCGTTTTCGTCAACATTTTTTTCCAAAGTCTCCAAATCATCTTCTGAATGGGGTTTAAAGTTTAATTGTTCTTTTTTTTAATCGTTTCGAGTTGATTTTAAACGTAAGTACTTCATTCAGACATAATGAATGAAAACTTTTACTGCAGAAGTTTTGAGTTGTGTTCAAAATTCCCAGAATAAATTATATATTATTACTACTTTTGTTTTAAAACACTTGTAGAGACATTAGGTATTTTTTTTGGAAGCAGGAGAAGTGAAAAATGAGCAACGTCTTCGCCGGGAATCGAACCACGGACATCTAGAATACGCGCCCAGTGTGCAGGCCACCGCAATACGAAGGCGTTAGAAATACCTAATATACTTCCTCTTTTAAAGGGCGACTGGAGTTTTTAGGGGACCCAGTCGCCAAATTCTGGGTGTGGAGAATCATCATCCACCACCCTTTTAGTTCGGGCGCCACTGTAGAGACATTAGGTATTTTGGAAGAGGAAAGATGAAAAATGAGCAACGCCTTCGTCGAGAATCGAAACATGGACCTCTGGAATACACGTCCAGCGTGCAAACCACAACACCATGAAGGCACGCTAAGAAAGCGTGAGAAATACCTTATACACTGCTGTATGTGCAGTCTTTAAAGTTGGAAATTTTTTTCCTGTGAAGGATAAATTAATTGCTATTAATCAATTGTTCATTTACATACAGTTTGCTGGCTTTATACCCAGATTGCGAAATTACCCTATATTTGTGAACTACGACTCAACATCAATTTGGGAAGAAGCATCGTACGTCCTTTATGCAGAGAAATTATTTGCATGAGTTTTTCCTGCGAATTTAAATACTTCAGTTGAATAAAATATGCGCACTAGCTTCCAAATAAAACAAAATTCAATATTTTCTTAGAGTTTTGGAGCACTCAACTAATAAAGCAATTAAAAATAAGTGATAAAACCAAAAGCTTCTGTACGAAGTACGCAAAATATGACATTAGAAACGTCTTTTATTAGTTACAATTAAGTACTTTAATTGACATCAGCTACATATGTTGTTAAAAATAAAACAAAGATTTAAACTATTCAGAAATGGGTTTATTGGTTTTAAATCGCTTACCTTGTTAAGAATTACAAACTGAGTAAATTAAAAAGATAAATTAAAGATCTTAACTTTTGCCGAATGGTAATAGTTTCAGATCTGGTTATGCTCTAGGTGGTTGTAAGACAAATTTAATATGGTATGCTTCACATAGTGTTAACACTTGGCAAGAGAAAAGAACGAATTGTCCATGGTAGCGCAATGCAACATAAAACAGCATTCAAACAATTAGGAAAGATTCCACTAAATATGTTTTTAACGTCAAAAATGAACGATCATGCAGTCACGAACCCACAGGAAGAAAGAATTTCTGCATCTGCTATTTCAGAAAAAGTTATTTATTTAGATACATGTGAGTGTGAATGAAATTTTAAAAATTCTGTTTTTTCAAAACATACCTAGTGTTTAAATTCAGCGATAGGTTTACTAGAAAACATTTTAAAATTTTTAAATATTGTAACGTTTATTTTATGTTGTTAAACATTCCTTTATTGACTGTTAGATCCTTTAAGATTTAATAATCCTTTTTAAATACACCATTTTTAAATACACAAAAGTACCTTTTTAAATACCCCCACCACCGAAGTAACTGCATTTCCTTGAAATAGAAAAAAGGAACATTTTTCATTTTAGCTAATTAATTTACACAATCTACACATGTGTTGGTAAAGTGCAATCAACAATTTATGCACCATCCTTGCAAGTATGCTCAAAAGAAAAAGAATTTATAATTCAGTGAGTAGTAAATGTGTAGCTATTTCATAGTTGGAGAACTATGCAGTATTATTCTCAAATCCTCATAATTATCAGTAGATTACGTTTCTAAGTACGAATATGGTGTAGTTGTGGTTTAGTTTACTATTGATAAATGCATAATTTTTTGTAGCCATTGAGTTTCTCGTAACACTGTACTCGTTTCTCAATAAATGAATATTCACTTCAACTACCTTAATGCGTTATCTGAATTTATTAGCAATGACTTGCGGCAATTTCCAAAACAAGGAGAATCCGATTATTTAAAAGAAATTTAGGTGAGGAGGTTTCTTCACCAGTCGTTGTAGATTTATTATTTTAAGAGTGCGAGGTATTGCGAATGTTTAGTTTCTAGGTGCTACTTTGGTAGACGGTTGCACGGATTTTGGCGATTTTTTGGCGATTTTTTTGGCGAGCGATGCGACTTATGGTAAACCCATTGCTGGACAAGTTATTTATGGTAACCGATACTTTGTTGTCATTTTATTTAAAAGATAATGCTTTTAATTATGCATAAATTCCGTGTTTTAAATATTATTTATGACTTCAAAATAATAAAAATGAATTTAATTTTGCATTTTTATTTGAAATAAAAATTTTATTGTTTATGATATTTTATGGAATTTTATGTTGTGAATGATGTAATGAATGACGTCACATTATTTTAAAAGTAATTGGTTTAATATCTATAAATTTAATCTAATGTTTTAAACATTACTTATGGCTGTTAAATATTTAAAATACAATTTAATTTTGCAATTTTTTAAATATGATTTTATTATGAATGATTATTTAAATAATTTTAATTCTATGCGTGATGTAATCAGCTCCCTGATTGGTTACTGAATATTTGTGCATTACCGCGCAATTTTAAAATTTTATTATTCATCTCTTCGAATTCCTCAGATTTCAAAGCGAATGGATGTCTCCGTTTCGAAGATAAATGTTGTTATTGGTAATTACCAAGAATTATTGGTATCGGCATAAAAAATTGCCTCTTGAGACCTTATTTTGGTCAACCTGGATTTCCTAATCAAAGATTTATTTATTGTTACAAGGGTCAGAGAAAATTTATTAAAATTTTTTGGAGGAAACCTCGCTAATTGCTTCTTCAATGAAGTGCGAGAGATGGGGATAACAGATGAAGATCGTTTTTTTTCTGGTACTTATCAATATACTTAAGGTAAAATGCTTAAAAAAATGTAAGTACATATTTTTCTTTTACTTTATTATTGTATACTTCAATTTTTATTAAAAAATTAATACACTTTTTTTTTCGGGCCCACCAGCGGCCGAGCGGTAAAGTCACTGAACACTGGTAGTTCGGTCCGAGGTTCGAATCCCGCGAACGGGCTGGCTGCATGGGCGTTTTCGTGGTTTTCCCCATGTGTAACGTGTATACGAGCCAGTTTCCCTTAGAAAGTCCTCCACGAAGGCATCCCTCCCCTTAGGCAGATAGCCCTCGAGGCTTTGCCATAATCACACACACACATAATACACTTTTTTCAAAAATTTCTGAGATATTTATTGCCACATATGTTTTAATGTTAAATAATTATATAAACTTATTTAAATTTAATAATAAATTTTAAACGTTGGTATGATGTTTTTAATTCAATATTCAATTAAGTAATATTTTATTCCAATTAAATGTTGGCGCGATGTTTTTATAGCGGTGTTTTTATTCTATTATATGAAAGTAATAATTTAACTTTACTTTAGCATTTTATACTCTTAGTAAATGTATTTATTTACATTTACCAGCCATCTTAAAAAAACGTTTTCAACAAAAAATTAATCCATTATTTTTAACGATATTTATTTTTTAAAGTTTCGAATACTTTACTATGCGTGAAATACCTAAAAACAGCATTTTTCAAGATGGCTGACGACTGTAAAAACCGCGCCAATAATTGAGCCAATGTAAATCGCCAAAAATCCGTGCAACCGTCTACTAAAGTAGTACCAGTTTCTAAATTCCTATTATCATAATCATAATGAGGGAGTTTTCTTACCGATGGATCCCCAGTCCGGGTGTGCAAGATTGTTGTACCATCCATCGTACCTCTGCTTCTCCGTCTGTGTGAACATACGCAACCTTTCATCGCCACCTGAAAAACAGAAAATTAATGAGAACACCGCAATAAATGTGTAATAAATTTTATTAAAAGTTTTCTGAACATTATAAACTTATAAAATTAGAATATAAAACATTATAACACTTATAAAATTAGGATTATAGTAGAAATGTAAGCTCTTTGAATATATTTTCAAAAATCAAGACTTCCGTATTTGGTTAGTTGGACTACTACGGATCTGCCAAAGCTTATAACCGGCGTCTGATAACTTCTTGAAGTGATAATGTCAATCTATGAGGTATTATCCTCGATCCAGACCGCGCGAGCGGTAAAGACGCTGAACACTGGTATTCGGTCTGACGAATCCCGCGACGGGCTGGCTGCAGCCGTGGTTTTCCCCATGTGTAACGTGTATACGACCAGTAAAAGTCCTCCACGAAAGGCATTCCCGCATAACAATCCAAAAGCGTGATCTTCGTGATATTGTAAAAGCATAATGTGTTTTTCACATAAAAGCAGTTGGCTTATACATTATTAGTCCAAAGGAGCTTTTGTTCCTGAAACACTATTGTTTTCGTTTTGCGATTTTGCGTTGGTCACTATAAATGTCCGTTTCACTTTTCAAGTTGCCACAAAAGAGTCCTGCATTATTTTGTTAAACTGAATATGACTCGCATTGTTAAACAACGTAGAATTTTTGAATATTACTAAGTGGAAGCCCAATTGAATTTTTCGATTTTAATTTGTTTTGTCAAAGGGATTTGAATCCCGAAGGACTATTAGTTTCGTTTTGGCATTTTGCGTCGGACTCATAAATGTCGGTTCACTTTTCAAACTGTTGCCATAAAATGTTAGAGTCCTGCATTATATTTGAAGAAATTAAATAATGAAAAATCTGCGTAAATGTATGTATATTTCTCGTATTGTCATAAAACAACGGTACATAGAGTCATCGAATTTTGAATAACGTAATCCTCCAACGAATATGAGCATGTGGAAGACCAAATTTGAAATTTGAAATTTGTTTTATGATCGATTTCCTATTTTTTAAAACTTTGACGAATTTTTGATTAACAAACTCAAGGATTTCAAAGCGAGCAATGGCAACGTTGTGCAGAAAAAAACATTTTTATCTCCAGCGCGTGAGTCTCTGTATCGGAAATTCTAAAGATATGCTCGTTTTAAAACTATTTTGCGATATTGCTGTTGCACTGGATCTTATGGTTTAAGTGCGAGGAACATGATATTTAATAAAGAAAGGTAACACACAAAATGTTAAAAAACGCCCCTTTGGACGTAATTTAAAATCTGAAACATTTCAGATTTTTTTTTTTAAAAATTTTTTTATAAAAAAGGTTTCAGCGGCGATGAACGCTGTACAGAAAAATTTTCTCAGCTCGTGAGAATAGGAAATAAAGATATGCTCATTAAATTTTGCGATCGCTCTGAACTGATTTTTGGTTTAAGGGAACGTGATTTAATAAATAAAGGTAACAGACAAAATGTTAAAAAAATACCCCTTGGGACGTAATTTAAAATCTGAAACCTTTCATATTTTTTTTTGTTTTGTTTTTAAAGTATTTTGTTAATTGTTTTTAATTGTTCATAGCCTGTGAGCTAGCTACACAAGCAGCCGCTGATTATTGTTTCGGTGGATGACGTTCATACCTTAGATTTTTAAAATGTACGTATATTATCCTTTTTCTCTCAAAAACAAGGAACGTAGGTCCTCAAAAGTACATTGTGCTTAAGATCTCATACCAAAAGTCGAGCCTTGGGCATATATGTGTTCATACGCTAAAAGAATAAATCCTTTTTAATGAAGATAGGCGTCCTTTTTTAAAACATATATTAGGATTGAAGGATAGTTTAACAGGATTGAACTCAATGTTAAATTATCATCAGATTTCCTTTACCCAACAGGAAGACTTGAAAACCATGTATGGATTTCACAGAGTCCATATAATCCAGGCCAAAATATCCCGTTTAAACAGGCTATTTGTTATCAGTATTCACTGTGATATTAATAAAAACTATTGTAATATTTTTACAGGAATTTAAACAAAGCTTTAAACAGTTTCTTTTTCATAAAGAACTCAGAAATACTTATAGATGATTTTTCATTGCTCACAGAAACGAAACTTTTCTCGTCAAATGATATGATAAAAATAAACGACTAGACTATATTATTTAATAATTCGAGCAATTAAATGAGTACCAAAGAAAAAGAAGCAAAATTTAAAATATGACATATCAATTAAACATTTAGGTAATCAGCGTAATGTGTCTATAACTTATCTAAGTCAACCAGACATGTCCAGGAGACATACCTTTCTTTTCCAATTACTCCAATCATCGATAAGAGACATTCCATGGAACAATGAAGTTTGAGCAGTATAATCTCAAATACAATCTCTTTCTGTCCAATTAGACAACCCAGGCATTTGATTCTGGAGTCACTTAATTGCGCTTTTATCGGATCATTAACGATCCGTGACATAAGTTCTCGATTTCAATCTAACGATTAATGTATAAAAACACGGCACTTCTAACAGGAAATGCAGTGAAATATGTTTAGCTAGCCTTGATCTTTATTTCATATTTAGTATAGCAATTGAGAACAATTTTGTTTGCATAGATATAGATTAGATGGAAACACCTGCAACAAAAGCTTCTTAATTCAAAATCCCTTATTTCAACACATTAGTTTTATCTTCTTTACATAATTCTTCTTCACATAAATATGAAAAAATATGTAGGGTTTTGGAATTCGGCAAATGATTGTGTATTCTTTTCATTGATGAAATAAAAGGTACACGTATTCTTGTGATGTCTAGATTAAACGCTGTAAAATTTAGATTTAGTAGAACCACATGATATGGGAAATTAATACAGAATGCTGTACTGTTTGCTTGCATTTAAAATATTAACTATTGCTAGCAATGGGACATTCGAATCGTTGAATCCTATAAAGCATGAGTGTAACTAAATTAATTTTCTTTCAAATTTACATCATTTTCTTAATTATAAACTTTGGCGTTGCCATTATGTATAGTATATAGTATTTCCAACTGATGTACTTTGAAACAACATCTTGGCTCCTGAACTTTATTATTCAAGTTGCTGGTTCCGTAATTCCAATTTCTACCAAGAATTATAGATAAATTACAAGAGAAAAAACTGTGTTTATTAACATGCTTTCGAAGCTGCTGTAACAATCAATAATATTCTACGGTAGGGTAATTATGTTTTCTACATTTAATAGAACTTCATAACAAAGAACTTGCTGTAGAAAATCATTAAATTCAAATATAAACTCGAACATCGCAGTACTGCAATTTGAAAATATGTAAACAAATAAAATTTAATCCGTTCCTCACTGCAGATATTTCAATTTTTGTTTAAACTATGTGATGATGCCTTCTTTGACTCAGCATTCTTGCTTAAAGCTGAATCTAGTTTAAATGTGATTTAAATATTCCTCCTTTATTAAGTTTTTTATTTTTTAGCCCAAAGGGACAATTTACCCAGAAGGGATATTAATTTCGTTTTGGCATTTTGCGTCGTCCATTTTAAAACGGCGAAATACCTTTTTAAATTGTTGCCACAAAATATTAGAGCTTTGCTTTATATTTAAATAAATTAAATAATGAAGAATCTGCATGAATGTGTATATGCTTCTCGCACTGTTAAAAAACAACGGTACCTAGAGACATCAAATTTTGAATAACGTAATCCTTCACTTGAATGTGGGCCTCTGGGAACCCCAAATTTAGAATTTGTTTTATTATCTATTTCATATTTGGCAAAACTCTGGCAAATTTTTAATTAAAAAATTCAACGATTTCAAAGCGAGCAGTGGCAACACTGTAGGGGGGGATATTTTTGTCTCCCTCGCGCGGGACTGTGTATCGGAAATTCTAAAGATATACTTTTTTTAAAAATATTTTGTGATATTGCTGTTGAAATGGATTTTATGGTTTATGTGCGAAGAAAATTATATGTAATTAATAAAAGTAACACACGAAATGTTCAAAAAAACGCTCCTATGGGGGTAATATAAAAGTTGAAAGCTTTTTTTCTTTTATTTTCATGATCTTAAGATATTTTTTTTTCTGTTATTTTCAAATTTAATTCTGTGCCCCATTTATCCTCAATGAACTCCCCGTCTCTCATAATATTTTCAAACTTACTATATTAAATATAAATACAAATAAAATATTGAATATATTAAACGCAATAGATGCAAGATGTCGGCAGAATACATTGATTGTTTTTTTTTCAGTTCCTTCAAAGTAAATTCTTTGTGTCTATAACATGCATGTAATCTTCTAAATACAAATATGTATCATGATAGAGCATGGTACGGGTGTGGTAAACGGATCACATTTTTCGAGGTCACTTTAAAACAGATGAACACACCTCTCTGCTGAATCTTTTTGTTCCATCCACCTGACTCTGCAAGGTCGCAAAACAGCAAGTAATCTCGCAAGAAATAAAGTTCTTTATTATAGTTGTTTGATAGTTCTTAGTTTTTAAAAACTAAGCGTGCTTGGAAAATGACTAGATATGAGATGAATTTTCTTACTTAATGCTCTTAATGATTTTTGTTTATCATCGTAGGCGCGTTTTCTCAGTTTTGAATGTAATTTTTGAATAACCGATAGCGAAATTTTTCAGCATTTTCGAGGAAACAGTACTGCGTACTGTCACGTATAGGAATGAGAGGTAAAAGTCGTATAAAGCTATAAAACTATGAAATCTGAGAATCGTAATAAAACTGCTGTTTACTTTAATTCTCCGCTTTATATCATTTTAGTGGAAAGAAACATCCAAATATATAGTGGCTCACCTTTGTTTCCGGATACTTGTATTTTTGCAATTTATCTACGTAAATCTTGTATTAAATATTGAGACTTAAACTTCAATTCACTTTCTAGTATATAATTTCTTCTTTATTTTAAGCCTTGCTTGTTGCAAAATAAATATCATCAAAATATTCTGAGCAATAAAATAATTTTATCAAAACGTGTTAATTAGTAACT